GGAGGGAGGGAGGGAGGGAGGGAGGGGGCATCCTATAAGCTATAATACACACGCTGCCTTAGTCAAATTCCCATGTGTACACAGCATGACTATGCTGGAGAAGAGGGCATCTGAGAATAGGTAGGGCATGCACTCCCACCACCCCTTAAAACAGCTGCTGGCATATTAGTAGGATTATGATTTAAATGGGAAGGGTGGCAGTTACCCTTGTACAATGTTCTCTTTGAGCTGCACACTCCTCCTATTGGACTGTATCTCTCCTTCCACAGTCCACTATGTCTGAGTGTACTGAAAGAAGGTTTAGATGCCCTCATCTTGTAATTCTATACCATTGATTTTTGGTTATTTTTAATTTAAAATGTGCTGAAGTAGAAGTATCTAGATTTTCTGTGTTCTGCTGTTAGGGATTATGATACTAAGTTGAGCAAAAAACCCCCAATAGCCCAGTTAATCATCTTTTCTTGTGAAACTTCCAGTCTAGCCTTTCTTATAAAGATGGGATGATACAGGTGGATGCCACATCTCCCTAGTAAATCAAGTAAACGGTAAAGCATGATATGATTTTTGTCAACTTTCCTTATGTTGGATAGTTTTGCTTTAAAACTTAATTCTACTATTTCTAATCACACCAGCTATCCCAACACAACATTTGTGTGTGTTATACATGCAACAAATATGGGTGCCTGAATTGTAAAGTGTTATATTACAACATGGTAATGCTGATATTAAATTACAGTGTGTGTGTGATTCAAAAAGCTTTCCATTAGTAGTTATTAATAAACTATATGTGTGGCTTCAGAGATACACACACATGCACATACATGTACATACATATACACATGTATGATACTGACTGACAAGGCTAGGATTTAAATCAATAGTAAAAGTAGTCTGAGTTGCTTTAATAGATTAAGAAAATCATTCAATGAAGCCAAAACACCAGATGTGGAATTGTGTTCACATGCTTTTTGGCACTTTCCTTCATTATATGAAGTGTTGCTGTCAAAAGAAGATCTGTTTCCCACCCAAATTTTTAATCCTGATCAAAAGAACCACTCATATCCCTGAAGAGAGATTAGCATCATTTCTGAACTACTGTGGAGACAGTGAACCCTCAAAGAAGAGCTACAATATGATGGCACTCCTGAATGTGTGACAAAAACTGAACAAAAGGAACAAGAGACAAGAGAATGCATACATATCCACATCTATCTATATATAAAGATATATTTCAAACATTTCAAATGGTTGTTTATGATTAATTTATTTTTAAAGTGAGCAACTGAGCCATAATAACTGCATTTTGGTAAAGCAAAAAAAAAAAAAAGGAAGAAAGGAAAGTTGCACCATATCTCATTAACACTTCATTTATCTAGAAAAAAAATATCTAGGTCAGTTGAATCCTTTCTTACCATCATTTCTGTTGGCATTATACAAAACTTTTTTCCGTTTCTTTTTGTTCTTCTTTGCGCACCAAAGCTTTCCTAAAGACAACAAAAAAAGTCAGTTTACCCAACTCAGGTTTTTTAGCTGTTTTTTTAAAACAATACTCATTAAGAATCTAAAATTGTGAGCTATCATATAAGAATTGCACTTAAGAAAGACCTTGTTAATAAGCTTACAATTTAAAGCAGGAATGGGCAGTCTGTAACTTTTATAGAAGGGGCTGAAGATTATAAGTACAGCAGTGCTGTAAAGTGCATAAGACTACGTTATGCACGTGGATGTAATTTCTGGGCTTTACTTGAATCCACGTGAGCCCCCCCCAACCCCAAATGTGATGTTGCTTAAAGGAGCCAATTCATTAAAGCTGGTGTAGCTGCACCTTTTTCCAGGGTAGTGCTGAAGCCTGAAAAAAGACCATCTGCTTAATTAAATAGTAGAGAGGTGCTGTGCTTGGAAAAAACAGAAAGAAAGAAAAAAAATATTTCTGAAGCATTCTCAGTCTTCATGGTGGCAGCTGACAGATGTTAGCTGATGACAGACAACAGATGTTATTGTCCAGAGTTACTATCTGGGCAACTGATTTGTCTTGTGGGGGGTGCTCGGGCTCAAATACTCAATTTCTTTTAACATCTAGCTCAGTGTTTTTTAAATCTGGCAACTTTAAAATGTCTGGACAAGTTTGCCAAGTTTGGAAAACACTGAGCTAGCTAATGCGGGTATTTCTGAAGTCTTCCGCTTACCTGATTTTTCTGGCTCTTTGTCCTCCTCTATAGTTTGCTTCATTGCTTCTCTTTGCTGCTGAAAACTTTTTCCTTCATGGAAGAAGATATCTATGAGAATTAACACTGGAAAAACATTATAGTACATTTCTCGTAATAATAAACTACATTATTTTGAGAGCATTTCAAAATGGGCTTCTGGTTCTTTTCAGAACATTGAGGAAGATAATCCCCTGAAATGGGATTGATATTCTATAGAGAAGTAGTCATTTCACTGGTATTCTGATGCCTAGGCAAGGATAATCAAAAAAATATATCAGTTAAGATTTTGAAGAACGCTCCTACTGAAGATATTTGAAACATTCACTAAGCTTATATTTTTCATAAAATTGTACGAGGAATACTCTTCTCACCTTGTAATCAATGTAATTTTGCTCCATTTTGTCTATCTGGCAAGTTGAGAAAATGACGTAAAATGGGTTCAAATTCAAATTAATTATAAAAAGGCTATCTAGGAATAGGCACTGATGTTTGTTGAAAGAAGTATCCATTTCTTCTTAACTGAATGAAACAATTTCTGTATTATTGTTCCTTTATTAATTTATTTTATGTAACTTTATTGTATTTTATGTCTACTTTTTACTTTTATTAATTATAGGTTTAGTTTAGGACCCATGTAGTGTCCTCTGGCCTAAAGGCCATAATAAAGGTTTTGATACTGTGATAGTCATCAACATGGGAAAATATTAGAATGCTCTTGTTCTTGTGAAAAAGTGTATTTTTAGCAATTTAAATAATAGATCCTAAAACTAAAGTTTATAATAAGCCCATTTTGTCCTGCTGTATCTTAGGGACTGGAGGATTCCTGCATCTTAAACAGCAATCAAAATTTATTATTTGCTATATATAGTAGGAGCCAGTTGCAAGCCTTTGTCCTACAGTGAGCATTTCCTTTGTAGCTTCTATACATTTCCCATATATTCTGTTCAAGACCTACAGCAGTTACACATTTCCCTCTATTTCCAAGATTATTGATTACATTTCAAATACACAGAAAAAACTAGTTAAAATGCGATACTATTGTTGAAGATGTGACAATTAAACAAGTACATAACCAAACATTAAGTTTTCATGATTAAAAACCAAGAGGAAGACCAGGCCACTAAGCTGCTGGCACTAACTGTGCTATTGCTTCTGCCTTTTATCAACTCTTTAAAAAATGAGAAATGATTGTATCATATTAGAAGGAATCATACAAAATATAAAGTCTTCTTTGCTCAAGGGACCAATAATGAAGCATTTGAAATGTTGTCAACCCCAAGGGGGGGGAATATTTATATGGATGCCTGTGTGAACAGTCTGCTTTTCTTATCATTAAGTACCTGGAATAAGGCCTGCCAAAGGTTGATTTTCTTCATCTCCATCTCGATAAGCCTGCCACCAATTTGGATCTTCTTGGCTGATCACATGGAGTATATCTCCTTTTTGAAAAGACAGACCTAACTCTCTGCAAGGGACATAGGGGTCATCAGAAGGATCGTAGTCAAAGTGAGCTTTCACATGGATCTAGGACACAAAAAGATACAAACATAAAAAATAGGCAATTCTACAGCAATTTTAATTTCTAATTAATTTAATTTCTACTAGCCCTTGTGTTTCTCCCAAAGCTTCTCATGGGGAAGGAATAGAGGATACTTAGGAGAAGACTAAGATGTGAACATGACAGTCCAGAAAGCCTTAGCTTATCATCCTCTCCTATTTATTTTCTCCTGCCTCTTGGGGAGGAAGCTTGCTCTTCAACTTACTGTTCCAGACACTTGTAGAATTTATACAAGTCTCAGAGCACTTTTTAAATTAAATTTCTTTTTTCTCCTCATATATCCTGTATCCTTCCTTCAGACAATGAATTGTGGCAGTAGTCTAAGTAAAATTCAAAACATGATGTAACTAAGATTGCTACAGCCAAGAATCAAGGCATAGGTGGCCTGACCCTACTTAGTTCCTGAAATCAGCCAAGTGACTCTGAATAACACTTTCCCTTGTTCAACAAGGAGAAGATTTTTAACAAAACCAAAACCAGAATATAAAAATCAACTGAACCTCTACATCTTAATTTGTTACCAAAGTATTATCTGATATAGTCACATACCACTGTCTCTTTAGTAGGTGGGGGCTTGCTCTGCTGACTGGGAATCAGCACAAACGTCAGAGTGCCATGCATGTCCGCCTGTGAAGAAAAGCATCAGTGAGTGACAATTTAAAACCACCTTGGGTTCCTTGGTAAGTTACTGTTCTTGTCCAGCAGTCTTCTTCCTGAATGCTGATCCTAGATTTCACATCTCCATTTGGATGTATTCTGGTATATTTTAAAGTGCTATGTTTTTCTTCTTTTAAAAAAATCAGCCAAGTCTATCAGACCTAACACTATAGGGAGAAGATTAGCAATGAGAATGGTACCATTATTCAGGTCACACTTGGGAGACAGAGTATTTGATCAGATGGAACTCTGGTCTGATCCAGCAAAGCCTTTCTATGCATTTATCACAGCGCTTAATGTCAGATAGGCAATTGGGGCTACATGAGCCTTTCAAAGGATGTGTCTGCTTTAATACTTTTAAGGAATGCGTACAATAGATTTCAACGAAAGCAAATAATCTTATAGACCAAGAAAGGGAAAGATTATAGATTGATGGTACAAGCAATTCCAAAAGAACAAAAGAAAGAAGCAGAAGGAAAAGATATGAAGAAAATAAAAGGAAGGCTAACAAAAGACTGGATCCTGTAATACAATTCATTTTTTTATATCAATTTATTATCCTGCTATGTTTTGAATATCTGAATTAAGAACAAGAAAACAAATTAGGTGTAATGGAAAGCTGGGAAGTTAGTGGTTAAATTTTTAAAAGTGGATATGAATTTGAAAGTTATTTTGGTGGTGGAGGAATCATAACACAGTATTCATGTTTATTCTCTTATGGTATTATAAGCATAGGTGAGAGAAGTATGGCCTTCCAGATGTTGCTGACTTGAAACACCAATGATAATGGTGGCTGGAGCAAACTGCTTTTTATTCACCAACATTTGGAGGGCCACAGGTTGCCAAGCCTGCTATAAGAAAATCTAAACTAATTTGTTTAGAGAACTATCTGGTGTGCAGTTGGCTATTTTAAAAAGTTCGTATTTTTAAAAAACCTGTCACGTGACTCAACAAACACTCCTTAGAATGGAATGTATCTGCAAGATTGAATGCACTTACCTGTTACAGCTATAAAAAAGTTTAAAGACCTTCTTGCTTGATTAGTGGGTTATGCAGGGTCTGGTTGTTTCACTCTACTCTTATTTAGCTGAGAGTTCCAGGTTAACACTTGTTTTAAATTATTAGGGATGTATATACACTCGGTTGTATCGCAGGGCATTGTTTTAATGTACTGTTGTGCTAGTTGTTTTAGTGTTAATATTTGCTTACTGGGATCAAAGTAATTCAACTGAGTTATAATTATTGTGTTTGTTTTGTATTGCACCTTGCTAAAAGTATGTTGTAAATATGATGATGATGATGATGATGATGACGACGACAACAATGCAATGCCTTTCTTGGTGCAGCATAGAGACTTGAAGCCATTCTCATTGTGTCTTAAGATATACATGGAAAATTTGGTTGGTATGCACATATTTAAATTAGAAATAGTTACAACATACAGATTAAACATTCCACTAATATAAATTTATGCATGGCCATTTAAGTTCAGCTTAAACAAAATTTCTGACTTCTACAAATGGGTACTGATGGAGCTCCAAGAACAGATCCTCTGGTGCCATTTGTAACTGGCATGCTAAGGATAACAAAATGGGTTGTTCTCCTCTAATTTTAGAGAACCCAAAGCAATATAAGCTGTTTATAAGGTATAAAGGCCAAATCTTTTAAACTCAGTAAAGATTAACAACACTAGAACTGGAACTGTAGAGATCTGTATGCACAACAAGCAGCATTATATTAAGCAACAAATTTACAATTTCATGACATTAAATAAGTGATATGACATACCAGCAAGTCAAAAACCTCATTAACATCTTTTCCACGAATTTCAATTCCATTGATTTCTAAGACTTCATCACCCTCATGCAACAGCCCACTCTTTTCGGCAGCACCTCCCTTCACTATTCGACTAATGATGACTGAATCCATTTCATTTCGTACTGTAGCACCCTATGTAATAGAAAGTGAACATTTGAAAGTATCAGAAATATCTTATAACTAAAATAAAAAAAGTTTGATTAGAACCAGGAAACCTAGATTCAAATCGTCAGTCAGGTACCTTAGATCAGTATCAGTCTAATTTATTTCACAGAACAGCTAGGACAGAAAAGCTGTGAGAGAATCATGCATGTTTGTGTTTCAGTGGTATTCTGAAGTCTTTCAGGAGCAGGCTAAAAATAGAATGATGAAAAGAAAGAAAGAAAAACTGAAAATACAGTTTCTAAGTAACTGTTTAGTTTCTATTGTTAGCACAACAGAAAAAAGAACAACACGGAATGCCCCATAGTATCTTTTGCCAATTGTTACAAAAAAGTTTATTTCTTTGCTATTAAATTGTAATGTCATTATCAGTTTTTGTGGCTCACAGAGCCAGAAAAAATAACCAGATATCATTTCTTTTTACTTCCCTTCTCCAGCCTATCCCATGGATATAAAGACTTTGGGAAGAAGAGTTGTGATATAGTGGTAATGATGGTTGTATCCTGTCAGCCTTCTGAGATATGGCAGGTCAGGAAACACATCACAAGGATTCCAGGAATGCTACTTTATTGTTATAAGGTATAATAAACACAAGTATGAAAACCTATCAGGGCTTCTCTCTACCCCATCTTGTACCAAACAGAATCAGAGGGGTTATTCTGAATTTCTTTCTCAGGCTTTCCATTTTCCCAGACTGAGTTGCTATTTCACCTCCCTTAGTTGGCTCCTTCATTCCAAGGCCATCTCTACATTCCTTTCTGTATCCAGTGATGAACTTGAATGCAATTATAGAATTAGTATATTGTGGCAGAAGAGCACAATCTTGCTACATGGTTTACCCAGAGCACAGCTGTTTACTGGAATGAATTATAAAGATGTGTGAATAAATTCTTCAATGCTAAAAAAAATTAGCATACTTTATATGGAGAACAACATACTGTCTTATATGGAGAACAAATAAGTGTCTTAAATTGGTCTTTAGTATATTCATTCATCGAGTGTGCTTTATAAATACAGGAATATATCATTATCCTCAATTTTCCAAAAAACATTCAATTTTATGCAGAAGCATACACATGAGAAACCAGCACTTGAGTCTACCTAAAATAGATCAGAATTTTCAGGAGACTCTGAGAATGTGAGCAAAAACTAATTATTTCCCAGTTTCACATAACAGTCCACAAAGCCAGCAGTGGAATGAGAAAATGGATTTGCACATTTCTCTTTTATATTCCTGAGGGAGAGTATTTGTATTCCCTTTTTTTACAGGCAATATATTATAATGATCAGACCAAGCATTGTGAAAAATATGGGAGTCAATATTTCCCTAGATCACATTTTAGTATACTTACCAATGGAATATCTCTAGCTTTCTCAATGCGAACAATTTTAACTGTCTCTCCTCCATACTGACCAACATTTTCATAGACCTTTTCATCTGCCACGGATTCTGGTTGCATTTCCTGCTCAGCAACTTTATCATGAGCCAAAAGTAGTGCCTGGTGCAAAACAGTATCATTTATAGTTTGTTATAGTCATGTACCAAATATTAAGTGGGACAATGTAAAAATACCACTAAGATTCAATACTGGATACAATATTGTCCAGAAGAGGCATTTCTTACATTTTCTTCTGTTTCCATATGGATGGACAATCAAATTAAAGAATGGTACAGGTAGTCCTCGGTGGACAACCATAATTGGGACCAGCAACTGTCATTAAGTGATGTGGCTGTAAAGCAAAAACTCACATGACTGCGCTGATTTACAATGGCAGTTACGGTTACATTTAAGTGAATCACACACAGTCGTTAAGCTCAACGTCACATGACTGCGACTTGCTGCCAACTTTCCCATTGACTTTGTTTGTCAGAAGCCAGTAGTGAAGGTCACAAATGGAGATCACATGACCACGGGATGCTGCGACTGTCATAATTGCACGCCAATTACCAAGAGCCTGAATCAGAATCACGTGATGGATGCTGCAATGGCCACAACTTCAAGGGCCCATTGTAAGTTTCCTCATTCAGTGCCGTCGTAACTTCAAATGATCGTTGAACAAGTGGTTGCTAAGCAAGGACTACCTGAATTCCCATGAATTATGGTTCAAGGAATAAGGTATTTTATCAATACAGGCTATAAAAGTTGATGCAGGAGAAAACTGTTTTCACCCATTTATTGTAATTTTTATTATTAATTAATGTTACCCTATGAAAAAACAGCACATAATTGTACTGGCCATTATGATGCAAATTCTGACTCATGTACCAATCAAAGTAGCCAGCATGTTCAACTGACACTATAGAAATGTTCACAGTCAACAAATTAATTTGTTTTAAATTTTGATTCTTCAGGAATAGAAACCACTGTGCCACAAATACCAACAGAAACATACCTGCCGTTATCTTTCTTTGAATCAGAGTTTTACCATATGATAGAGAAAAAAACCAGCAGATATCTACAGATTGTTTACAGTATATTTTAAAAACTGAACGTTTTACACTTTAAAACAGGGTATTCCTACCTGAACATGAGGAGCATTCAATAAAGAATTAAGTTCCAGCCCATCTTTCTGATGGCTTGGTCTCAAAACATTTTGTACCTGGCAATTAGAACACCAAAAATGTGATACCAGTTATCATTCATCATAAGCAAAGTACTATCTTACTTTTCATGTAAGGAATCTTTTCTATAAGTACCAAGGACAAAAGTATGTTAAAAAAAATTGATTTCCCAACCATTTTTTCAATACAATAAATGGGTAAGTAAAAGAAATCAGAGACCACATTCATTTTTAACATAATATTCCGTCAGAGCATTCAAGGATCTTCCAATTCCAAATGTCTCTGAAGAAGAGCATCTGAATAGGTCCCTAACCCCTGCAGGAGGGGAATGATGGTGTGCTACCAAACATGACTAGATAGGAGTCTACATGTGAGTGCTTCCTGAACAGTTGCAATCTATCCTGTGGATTCTTCCTGAGAGGGAATGCTGAAGTTTTCCATCCTACCTGAAGTAAAAGGGTTGAGAGTCCAAGGGTGCTCCTTCTTGGTGGCTTCTCGCACACTATGAAACACCTTTGACTCTAAGGTGCATGGAGTTCTTATTCTGCTAGGCTTTTGCAAGACATCAAAGGCCATTTTATTCTGTCATTCTTTTAATGCTAATGGTGTGATAGGGTTGTCTTGATGGGATGATTTCTTTTTGCTGCTCTTAAGGTTTTGTTGGGCTGTTTTGCGGGATGGAGGTTTTTTTTTTCCTTTAACAGTTACAGGTACTCCTTGCTTAATAACTGTTTCTTTGGCAACCATTCCAAGTTATGACAGTGCTAAAGTGACTTACAACCAGTGCCCAAAGTTACATCCGTCACAGCACCTCTGCGGTCATGTGATCACAATCTGGGCGCTTGGCAACCAGCTCGCACTTATGACAGTTGCAGTGTCCCAGGATCACATGACTCCCATTTGTGGCCTTCCCAGCCGACAAAAAAGGTTGTAAAATCAGGTCTGGTCATGTGATGATTTGCTTAACAATCTTATTGCTTAGTGACCTAAATTCCCATCCCAATTGTGGTTGTTAAGCAAGGACTACCAGTACTGTAAAACACCCAGTAATAAATAAAACATTACTGAAAATCGGTGATAAGACAACAAATTTTGGCGGCATAATTTTGAGAGATTTTGTGCGTTACATATAAGGAATCTGGAGGATGCATATGACCCTTGGGACTTAATGTGCCAATTTCTGAGGTACTACAGGAAGTCTTCGTTTAGCAACTGCCTCAGAAAGCGAACATTTGCAAATATGACTGAAAATAAATGGCAGTAAAAAAAACCATTTTCTGACCAATGTGCGCACTTATGCCCAAATTTCTGTGCCTGACAACAATGCATACTGGAGTGAGGGTAACACTGGTGTTCCTACATGAGAGAACTTTAAATGAGACAGCAGCAACCAGGGATCTTCACAGCGTCTCTGTCTCTCAGTTACGTGGTTCACTTAGCAACCATTTTGCCAGAACCAAATGTGGTTGCTAAACATGGACTATCTGTACTAGGATTTAAAACAAAAACAAAAAACTAGTCCCATTCAAATGTTGCATCAAATACAAATTAAGTAAATCAATTATTTTTAATCCATAACAACCTACTTTTCAGAGGAATCCTAGAAAGAAAATGTGAATACGCATCAAGTTTCCTCTTTGAAGTATAATAAATTGCAGCCCTACTTTATTACTTATTTATTATATTTAATTATTTACTTATTGGAATTATATCCCAACTTCCTACAGAACTCCAGTCAGCTCCTATGGTGATTCCCTTTCATTTCATTCTCACAACAATTTTTGAAGGAGGTTGGACTGGGAGAGGGAGTGACTGGCCCAAAGTCACTTAGTGGGTTTCTATGGCTAAGGGTGGACTTGCATACCCTTAACCACACTTCATACTGGATCTCTAAATTTATGCAATTAATTCATTACATAAATATTTTTCCATATCTGCTGATTCTAACTAGTTTTTTTAATATAAATCTGTTAGAGAAGTTATCCAATTCCTCTGAAGAAATGTTTAAAATGTAACGTGTATTTTCTCTTTAAAATCAAGGTACAGATAGTCCCGAGGTTAAGGACACTCGGTTTAAGGACGACCCACAGTTAAGAACGGAGCTTACTGTAGTAAAATTCAAGTTAAATACACAATGATTCGTGTTAATTGCACAATGCTACTTATACAGTATTATACAATACTTACATACAAATTTGACTTAAGGACAGACCTTGGGAATGGAACTTGTTCCTAAACTCGTTCCTTGCTTAACTATGCTAAATGGGACCGGAAACTCCATCGTTAAACCACGGGGTTGTAAGTCAAAAAACCACATGGCTGTGCTGCTTAGCGATGGAAGATTCAGTTGCTGTTGTTAAGCAAGGACCATGCGGGTTATTAACCAAGGATCTCATGTGACTATGACTTCCTGCTCACGCAACTGCTGGCTTCCCCATTGACTTTACTTGTGGAAAGCCAGCAGGGAAGGTCGCAAGTCATAATTACGTGACTGCAGGACATGTGATATTTGGAAATCCGGGCTGGTTGCCAAGTGCCCAGATCACAATCACATGACAGCTGGGGCACTGCAACACTCGCAACTTTGAGGACGTGTTGTAAGTATCACTGGTTCAGCGCCATCGCAAATTCGAACAGTTGCTGAACAAGTAGTCATTAACTGTAGACCACCTGTAACATGAGAATCTGTGCTGTGAGTGTGTTATACAGTGTCTCAGTTATTTTATTACAGTTGTTTTAATTTTACTTTTTGCTTTATTATATTGTTTTCTTGTGGATTCTAGTCGCCCAGAGTTATATAGATAAGATGGGCAGCCATATAAAATCCATAAATAAATAAGTAAATGTGCAAAATATTAAAATTTATCTAAATATAACAATAAATACAAACTTTGTAGATCTGAAAATACTGAATTATGCCAATTTCTTTAAAATGCTTTTAATAATTAATTCAGAAGTGCTACAAGTGTTTATTATTATGATCATCACCGCTCTCAATCTTAACCATTCAAGACTGAAATTTCAGATGGAAATCAATAATTTGCACATTAACATCAAAATAGCAAAATATGTATGCAGATTGTAACAGATGATCAAATACTATCATTTTATCTAATTATCTGTAATTTCAAAGACTTACATTTCAATTAAAATGACTCTAGGAGCGATTCAATTTATTCTGTGAAATTTATGTTCAAGATCTACATTTTTATTTAAAGAAATTCAAATAGTATACTAAGATTTTAGTGATTTGGTTTTGATACATAGCCAAGTTTAGTGAATAAAACACAATTTGAGGATATTAAGCTGTAGCTGGAAACCAATTAAAATTTAAATTTGATATAAGAATGGGAATGTGTAATTTCTGTGGTTATTATTTCATCTATTTTTAGGTACTCTTAATTAAAAAAAGCAGTTAAATGCTAAATAGAATAGTACAGCATTTCCTCATGCTGCCTGGATCCCAAGAATTACTGTAAACACACCTGAAGGACTGAGGATGTCTGGTCAACAAGTTGCTCTATCATACCACAAGAGGTTTCAGAAACTTTTATTATTTCAAAGATTATTTGATACAGTGGTACTTCTAGTTACGAATGCCCCTCCTTACGAATTTTTCGAGATACGACCAGCTCTGGCCCCAAAAATTTATCTCTACTTGCGAACTCCGCCTCGAGTTATGAACCGGATCC